CTGGGATGGTGGGATGGTGGATCACAAGATTGTGGGATCATGTCCGTGTCCCTTCTGCATGGACAACCCGAGGTGTCATCCCTGTCCCACAACTTCCTGGGATCCTGGGATGATGGGATCGTGTCCATGTCCCTTCTGCAAGGACCATCTGAACCCTTATCCCTGTCCCACGGCCTCCTGGGATGGTGGATCATGGGATCACGGGATGATGGGATCATGGGACCATGGGATGATGGGATCATGTCCATGTCCCTTCTTCAAGGACCATCTGAAGCCTTATCCCTGTCCCATGACCTTCTGGGATTGTGGGATGGTGGATCACAAGATTATGGGATCATGGGATCACGGTCATGTCCCTTCTGCAAGGGCCGTCCACAGGGTTCTCCTTGTCCCACAACTTCCCAGGATCACGGGATGATGGGATCGTGTCCATGTCCCTTCTGCATGGACAACCCGAGGTGTTATCCCTGTCCCACGGCCTCCTGGGATGGTGGGATCATCATGGGATGGTGGGATCATGGGACCATGGGATCGTATCCATGTCCCTTCTGCATGGACCATCTGAAGCCTTATCCTTGTCCCGTGATCTCCTGGGATTGTGGGATCGTGGGATCACAGGATGGTGGGATCACGGTCGTGTCCCTTCTGCAAGGGCCGTCCACAGGGTTCTCCTTGTCCCACAACTTCCCGGGATCATGGGACGATGGGATCATGGGATGATGGGATCATGGGATGATGGGATGGTGTCCATGGTGTTATCCCTGTCCCATGACCTTCTGGGATGATGGGATCATGCCCATGTCCCTTCTGCAAGGACCATCTGCACCTTTATCCCTGTCCCATGACCTCCTGGGATTGTGGATCATGGGAGCGTGGGATGATGGGATGATGGGATGATGGGATGATGGGATCGTGCCCATGTCCCTTCTGCATGGACCATCTGAAGCCTTATCCCTGTCCCATGACCTCCTGGGATGGTGGATCATGGGATCACAAGATTATGGGATCACAGGATGATGGGATCATGGGATGGTGGGATGGTGTCCATGTCCCTTCTGCATGGACAACCCGAGGTGTTATCCCTGTCCCATGACCTTCTGGGATGGTGGATCATGGGATGATGGGATGATGGGATTATGGGATCGTGCCCATGTCCCTTCTGCAAGGACCATCTGAACCCTTATCCCTGTCCCATGACCTCCTGGGATTGTGGATCATGGGATGATGGGATCATGGGATCATGGGATGATGGGATGGTGTCCATGTCCCTTCTGCATGGACAACCTGAGGTGTTATCCCTGTCCCATGACCTCCTGGGATGATGGGATCGTGCCCATGTCCCTTCTGCAAGGACCGTCTGAAGCCTTATCCCTGTCCCATGACCTCCTGGGATGATGGGACCATGGGATGATGGGATCATGCCCGTGTCCCTTCTGCAAGGGCCGTCCACAGGGTTCTCCTTGTCCCACAACTTCCCGGGATCATGGGATGATGGGATGGTGTCCATGTCCCTTCTGCATGGACAACCCAAGGTGTTATCCCTGTCCCATGACCTTCTGGGATGGTGGATCATGGGATCATGGGATGGTGGGATCATGGGATCACAGGATGATGGGATCATGTCCATGTCCCTTCTGCAAGGACCATCTGAACCCTTATCCCTGTCCCACGACCTCCTGGGATGGTGGATCACAAGATTATGGGATCACGGGATCACGGTCGTGTCCCTTCTGCAAGGACCATCTGAACCCTTATCCCTGTCCCGTGACCTCCTGGGATGGTGGGATCATCATGGGATGATGGGATCGTGTCCATGTCCCTTCTGCAAGGACCATCTGAACCCTTATCCCTGCCCCATGACCTCCTGGGATGGTGGATCATGGGATCATGGGATGGTGGGATCATCACGGGGTGGTGGGATCACGGTCGTGTCCCTTCTGCATGGACAACCTGAACCCTTATCCCTGTCCCATGACCTCCTGGGATGGTGGGATGGTGGATCACAAGATTATGGGATCATGTCCATGTCCCTTCTGCATGGACAACCCGAGGTGTCATCCCTGTCCCATGACCTTTTGGGATGATGGGATCACAGGATCACAGGATGATGGGACCATGGGATGATGGGATGGTGTCCATGTCCCTTCTGCATGGACCATCTGAACCCTTATCCCTGTCCCATGACCTCCTGGGATGGTGGGATCACAAGATTATGGGATGATGGGATCACGGTCGTGTCCCTTCTGCATGGACAACCCGAGCTGTTATCCCTGCCCCATGGCCTCCTGGGATCATGGGATGATGGGATCATGGGAGGATGGGATCATGGGAGGATGGGATCATGTCCATGTCCCTTCTGCACGGACCATCCCCAGCATCTCCCCCAACTTCCTGGGATGGTGGGACCAGAGGATGATGGGATGGTGGGACCAGAGGATGATGGGATCGCGGGATCAGAGGATGATGGGATCGCGGGATCAGGTCCCATCTCCCACAGCACCCGCGGACACGCCCAGCCGCTCACCCCCACCCCTTTCCCCACCCTCCATCCCCACTGCAGATCCCCCACGGCTTCCACCTCCCCACCAGCCTCCAGCAGGACACGGCCACCACCATTCCCACCATTCCAACCATTCCCACCATTCCCAGCACCATTCCCACCACCATTCCCACCATTCCCACCATTCCCACCACCATTCCCAGCACCATTCCCAGCCCCATTCCCAGTCCATCCTAGGTCATGCTGGCCACGGTGCCCAGCAGGCAGACGGTGATGAAGATCCACAGGAAGATCCGGTTGATCCCACAACTTCCTGGGATGGTGGGATCACGGGGTGATGATGGGATCACGGGGTGATGGTGGGATCGTGTCCATGTCCCTTCCGCACAGACAACCCAAGGTGTTATTCCCTGATCCATGACCTCCTGGGATTTTGGGATGATGGGATCGTGTCCGTGTCCCTTCTGCACGGACAATCCCCGGTGTTATCCCTGTCCCACAACTTCCTGGGATCGTGGGATGGGGGGATCATGGGGTGATGGGGTCGTGTCCGTGTCCCTTCCACATGGACAACCCAAGGTGTTATCCCAAATCCCTGTCCCGTGACCTCCTGGGATTTCGGGATCATGGGTCATGGGATCATGGAATTACGGGATCATGGAATTGCAGGATCACGTCCTTGTCCCTTCTGCACAGACCATCCACAGCATCTCCCACGACTTCCTGGGATGGTGGCATCACGGGATTGTGGGATCGTGGAATTGTGGGATCACGTCCATGTCCCTTCCGAAGCCTTGTCCCTGTCCCACATTTTCCTGGGATCATGGCATGGTGGCATCACGGGATCACGGAATCACGGGATCACCCCCACCCCTTTCCCCACCCTCCATCCCCACTGCAGATCTCCCACGGCTTCCACCTCCCCACCAGCCTCCAGCAGGACACGGCCACCACCATTCCCACCGTTCCCAGTCCATTCCAACCATTCCCAGCACCATTCCCAGCACCATTCCCAGTCCATTCCCAGCCCCATTCCCAGCACCATTCCCAGTCCATCCTAGGTCATGCCGGCCACGGTGCCCAGCAGGCAGACGCTGATGAAGATCCACAGGAAGATCCGGTCGATCCCACAACTTCCTGGGATGATGGGATCACGGGGTGGGTGATGATGGGATCAAGGGGTGATGATGGGACCGTGTCCATGTCCCTTCTGCACGGATCATCCACGGTGTTATCCCTGTCCCACGACTTCCTGGGATCATGGGATGGGGGGATCATGGGGTGATGGGGTCATGTCCGTGTCCCTTCCGCATGGACAACCCAAGGTGTTATCCCAAATCCCTGTCCCATGACCTTCTGGGATCTTGGGATTTTGGGATCGTGTCCGTGTCCCTTCCGCATGGACAACCCAAGGTGTTATCCCAAATCCCTGTCCCATGACCTCCTGGGATTTTGGGGTCATGGGTCATGGGATCATGGAATTACAGGATCATGGAATTGCAGGATCACGTCCTTGTCCCTTCTGCACAGACCATCCACAGCATCTCCCATGACTTCCTGGGATGGTGGCATCACGGGATTGTGGGATCGTGGAATTGTGGGATCACGTCCATGTCCCTTCCGAAGCCTTGTCCCTGTCCCACATTTTCCTGGGATCATGGCACGGTGGGATCACGGGATCACGGGATCACGTCCACCCCTTTCCCCACCCTCCATCCCCACTGCAGATCTCCCACAGCTTCCACCTCCCCACCAGCCTCCAGCAGGACACGGCCAACACCATTCCCACCATTCCCAGCACCATTCCCACCATTCCAACCATTCCAACCATTCCCACCACCATTCCCACCATTCCCACCACCATTCCAACCATTCCCAGCACCATTCCCACCACCATTCCCACCATTCCCACCACCATTCCCAGCCCCATTCCCAGCACCATTCCACCATTCCCACCACCATTCCCACCACTGTTCCCACCACCGTTCCCAGTCCATCCCAGCCCCATTCCCAGCACCATTCCCAGCCCCATTCCTAGTCCCATTCCCACCCCCATTCCCAGCCCCATTCCCACCATTCCTAGCCCCATTCTCACCACCATTCCCACCATTCCCAGTCCATCCCAGTCCATTCCCAGTCCCATTCCCACCACCATTCCCAGTCTATTCCCAGCCCCATTCCCAGCCCCATTCCCAGCCCCATTCCCAGCCCCATTCCCAGTCCATTCCCAGCCCCATTCCCAGCACCATTCCCAGCACCATTCCCACCATTCCCAGTCCCATTCCCACCACCATTCCCACCATTCCCACCATTCCCAGCCCCATTCCCAGCCCCATTCCCACCCCCATTCCCACCATTCCGAGCCCCATTCCCAGCCCCATTCCCAGCACCATTCCCAGTCCATCCCAGTCCATCCCAGTCCCATTCCCACCATTCCCAGTCCCATTCCCAGCCCCAATCCCAGTCCATCCCAGTCCATCCCAGTCCATCCCAGTCCATCCTAGATCATGCCGGCCAGGTACGGGGGCAGGAAGAGCCCCACGGTGCCCAGCAGGCAGACGATGATGAAGATCCACAGGAAGATCCGGTCGATCACCATGGCCACGTACTTCCAGTCCTCCTTCACCTGCCGGCGGGGAGAGGGAGCCTGGATCCCTCGGGAATGCCCCATCCCGGGAATCTCACGGGCTCAGGAGAGCACCCAGAGCTTCCTGGGAATCTCCTCGGGGTGAGGAGACTCCGAGGTTCATGGAAAATTCTGGAATTTTCTAAGAGATCTTGAGGTGGGGGGTGGTGGTCTCCATCCTGGACCCAGGGTTTTCCAAATCCATTTTGGGAAAAGCGGGAATGGGGCCAAGAGGGGTGGGAGAGGTGAGGAGAGCACCCAGAGCTTCCTGGGAATCTCCTCAGGGTGAGGGGACTCCACAGTTCATGGAAAATTCTGGAATTTTCTGAGAGATCCGGAAGTGGAGGGTGGAGGTCTCCATCTTGGACCTGGGGTTTTCCAAATCCATTTTGGGAAAAGCGGGAATGGGAGAGGTCAGGAGAGCACCCAGAGCTTCCTGGGAATCTCCTCAGGGGTGAGGGGACCCCGAGGTTCGTGGAAAATTCTGGAATTTTCTGAGAGATCCGGAAGTGGGGGGTGGAGGTTTCCATCTTGGACCTGGGGTTTTCCAAACCCACTTTGGGAAAAGCAGGAATGGGAGAGGTCAGGAGAGCACCCAGAGCTTCCTGGGAATCTCCTCGGGGTGAGGAGACACCGAGGTTCATGGAAAATTCTGGAATTTTCTGAGAGTTCCTGAGGTGGGCAGGTGGAGGTCTCCATCCTGGACCTGGGGTTTTCCAAACCCACTTTGGGAAAAGCGGGAATGGGAGAGGTGAGGAGAGCACCCAGAGCTTCCTGGGAATCTCCTTGGGGTGAGGAGACACCGAGGTTCATGGAAAATTCTGGAATTTTCTGAGGTGGGGGATGGAGGTCACCAGGGCAGAGCTGATCCCACCTGGGGTTTTCCAAACCCATTTTGGGAAAAGCGGGAATGGGAGAGGTCAGGAGAGCACCCAGAGCTTCCTGGGAATCTCCTCAGGGGTGAGGGGACCCCGAGGTTCATGGAAAATTCTGGAATTTTCTGAGAGATCCGGAAGTGGGGGGTGGAGGTTTCCATCCTGGACCTGGGGTTTTCCAAATCCACTTTGGGAAAAGCGGGAATGGGGCCAAGGGTGGGAGATGGATCCCGGATCTTCTCCGTGGGTTTGGATCCTTGGGGAGCAACCATGGATCCTGGAACTCGAGTTCCAATTTTTGGGATCTCAGGAACCAAACCATGGATCCTGGAATTTGCCTTCCCATTTTTGGGATCTTGGAACCAAACCTGGATCCCGGAACGGCTCTTCCCAATTTTGGGATCTCCAGCCCCATCCGTGGATCCCAGAACTTCCCAGTTTTGGTGTCTCAAGAGCCAATCATGGATCCCAGAACTTCCCAATCAATTTTTGGGATCTCCAGCCCCATCCTGTGGATCCCAGAACTTCCCTTCCCAATTTTGGGATCTCCAGCTCCATCCACACATCCCAGATCTTCCCAATTCTGGGACTTCCATCCCCATCCCTGGATCCCAGATCTTCCCAATTTTGGGATCTCCAGCCCCATCCACAGATCCCAGAACTTCCCATTCCAATTTTTGGGACCTCCGGCCCCACCCACACATCCCAGAATTTCCCTTCCCAATTTCGGGACCTCCAACCCCATCCGTGGATCCCAGAACTTCCCAGTTTTGGGGTCTCAAGAGCCAATCATGGATCCCAGAACTTCCCATTCCATTTTTGGGATCGCCAATCCCATCCACAGACCCCAGAACTTCCCTTCCCAATTTTGGGACCTCCAGCCCCATCAATGGATCCAAATTTTGGGATCTCAAGAACCAACCATAGATCCCAGAACTTCCCATTCCCAATTTTGGGATCTCCAGCCCCATCCACAGATCCCAGTAATTCCCAATTTTGGGATCTCCAGCCCCATCCATGGGTCCCAATTTTGGGATGTCCAGCCCCATCCACAGATCCCAGAACTTCCCCATTTCTGGACCTCCAACCCCATCCATGGGGTCCCTGATTTTGGGACGTCAAGGACCAACCACGGATCCCAGAACTTCCCATTCCCATTTTTGGGATCTCCAGCCCCATCCACACATCCCAGATCTTCCCAATTCCAGGATCTCCATCCCCATCCCTGGATCCTGGAACTTCCCATTCCATTTTTGGGATCTCCAGCCCCATCCAGAGATCCCAGTAATTCCCAATTTTTGGGATCTCCAGCTCCATCTGAGGATCCCAGAACTTCCCATTCCATTTTTGGGGTCTCCATCCTCATCCCTGGATCCCAGATCTTCCCAATTCTGGGACCTCCAACCCCATCTACAGACCCCAGAACTTCCCAATTTTGGGATCTCCAGCCCCATCAATGGATCCAAATTTTGGGATCTCAAGAACCAATCACGGATCCCAGAACTTCCCATTCCCATTTTTGGGATCTCCAGCCCCATCCGTGGGTCCCAATTTTGGGATCTCCAGCTCCATCCACACATCCCAGATCTTCCCAATTCTGGGACTCCCATCCCCATCCGTGGATCACAGAACTTCCCAGTTTCGGGACCTCCAACCCCATCCGTGGATCCTGGAACTTCCCATTCCAATTTTGGGATCTCCAGCCCCATCCAGAGATCCCAGTAATTCCCAATTTTGGGATCTCCACCCTCATCCAAAGATCCCAGAACTTCCCTTCCCAATTTCGGGACCTCCAACCCCATCTGTGGATCCCAGAACTTCCCATTCCATTTTTGGGATCTCCAGCCCCATCCACAGATCCCAGAACTTCCCAGCTCTGGCATCTCCAATCCCATCTGTGGATCCCAGAACTTCCCTTCTCAATTTTGGGATCTCCAGCCCCATCCCTGGATCCCAGAACTTCCCCATTTTGGGATCTCCAGCCCCATCCATGGGGTCCTGATTTTGAGACATCAAGAACCAACCACGGATCCCAGAACTTCCCATTCCCATTCCCAATTTTGGGATCTCCAGCCCCATCCACACATCCCAGATCTTCCCAATTCCAGGATCTCCATCCCCATCCCTGGATCCTGGAACTTCCCATTCCATTTTTGGGATCTCCATCCTCATCCAAAGATCCCAGAACTGCCCTTCTCAATTTTGGGATCTCCAGCTCCATCCATGGATTCCAGACCTTCCCAATTCTGGGACCTCCAGCCCCATCCCTGGATCCCAGAACTTCCCAATTTTTGGATCTCCAACCCCATCAATGGATCCCGATTCTGGGACGTCAAGGACCCCATGGATCCCAAAACTTCCCATTCCCATTTTTGGGATCTCCAGCCCCATCCACGGATCCCAGATCTTCCCAATTCTGGGACCTCCAGCCCCATCCCTGGATCCCAGATCTTCCCATTCAATTTTTGGGATCTCCAGCCCCATCCATGGGTCCCAATTTTGGGATCTCCAGCCCCATCCACACATCCCAGAACTTCCCAGCTCTGGCATCTCCAATCCCATCTGTGGATCCCAGAACTTCCCTTCTCAATTTTGGGATCTCCAGCTCCATCCATGGATCCTGGAACTTCCCAATTTTTGGGATCTCCAGCCCCATCCATGGGGTCCCGATTTTGGGATCTCAAGGACCAGCCATGGATCCCACAACTTCTCCTCCCAGTCTTGGGATCTCCAGCCCCATCCGTGGGTCCCAATTTTGGGATTTCCAGCCCCATCCACACATCCCAGAACTTCCCAATTCTGGGACCTCCAGCCCCATCCCTGGATCCCAGATCTTCCCATTTTTGGGATCTCCATCCTCATCCAAAGATCCCAGATCTGCCCTTCTCAATTTTGGGATCTCCAGCCCCATCCACACATCCCAGATCTTCCCAATTCTGGGACCTCCATCCCCATCCCTGGATCCCAGAACTTCCCAATTTTGGGATCTCCAGCCCCATGCGTGGATCCCAGAACTTCCCATTCCATTTTTGGGATCTCCATCCTCATCCGTAGATCCCAGATCTGCCCTTCTCAATTTTGGGATCTCCAGCTCCATCCATGGATTCCAGACCTTCCCAATTTTTGGATCTCCAACCCCATCCATGGGGTCCCGATTTTGGGACGTCAAGAACCAACCACGGATCCCAGAACTTCCCATTCCCACTCCCAATTTTGGGATCCCCGTCCCGCGGCTCCCGGCACTCACGGAGAAGTCGGCGTCCTCGGCCCTCAGGTGGTCGGCGATGTACTGCACCCCTTCCAGAGCCTTCATCATCCTCGGGGACAGCGCCAAACCCCGCTCCGAGCCTTCCTCCCCCTTCTCCTCCTCCTCCTCCTGCTCCTTGTCCTTCCCCTTGGACGATCCCCGCGAGCCCGCGGGTTTTTTCCCGTAGCGGAACTGGCTTCCCTTGGGTTCCACGGGGTGGCTGGGGTAGGCCTTCTCCTCTTCTTCTTCCTCCTCCTCCTCCTCCTCCTCCTCCCACTTGTCATCCACGTCGGTCTCCAGCCAGCAGCGGGACGTGCTCAGCCGCGCCCCGGGGCGCCCGCGCGGGCCCCGCGCCCCGTCCTGGGCCGGCCTCTTCATGGAGAGCCACCGGGGCACCAGGCCCAGGAAGAAGCTGCGCACCCAGGCGGGCATGGCGTGCGTGCTGGGCGAGCGGTGGTGCACGTTGAGCACGAAGACGGTGATGATGATGGAGAGCGTGACGAAGATCATGGTGAAGAGCAGGTACTCGCCGATCAGCGGGATGACCAGCGAGGTGGACGGGATGATCTCGGTGATGAGCAGCAGGAAGACGGTGAGGGACAGCAGCACGGAGATGCACAGCGTGATCTTCTCGCCGCAGTCCGAGGGCAGGTAGAAGACCAGGACGGTGAGGCAGGAGATGAGCAGGCAGGGGATGATGAGGTTGATGGTGTAGAAGAGCGGCAGGCGGCGGATGACGAAGTAGAAGGTGATGTCGGGGTAGATCTCCGTGCAGCAGTCGTACTTCTTGGAGTTGTAGGTGCCCACGGCGTTGATGATGGCCCACTCGCCGCTCTCCCAGTAGTCCTTGAGGTCCACCTGGTGGTCCATGTTCTCCAGGTCGATCTTGGCCTTGTCGTAGGTCCAGGAGCCGAACTTCATCTTGCAGCTCTGCTGGTCGAAGGGGAAGAAGGTGACGTCGATGCTGCAGGAGCTCTTGTAGATGGCGGGCGGCACCCAGGTGACCGTGCCGTCCCACGACAGGTGCGCCTTGGTCATGTGCGTCACCGCGAACTCGCCGTCGGCGCTGGAAAACACGGAACGGCCGGGAATGGGCTTGGGATGGGATTGGGATGGTCAGGGATGGAGTTGGGATGGTCAGGAATGGGGTTGGGATGGTCAGGAATGGGGTTGGGATGAACTTGGGATGGTCAGGAAGGTTAGGAATGTGGTTGGGGTGGTCAGGAATGGTCAGGAATGGGGTTGGGATGGTCAGGAATGGGCGTGGGATGGACAGGAAGGGTCAGGAATTGTCAGGAATGGGGTTGGGATGGTCAGGGATGGAGTTGGGATGGGATTGGGATGGTCAGGAATGGGGGTGGGATGGACAGGAATGGTCAGGAATGGGGTTGGGATGGTCAGGAATGGGGTTGGGATGGTCAGGAATGGGGGTGGGATGGTCAGGAATGGGGTTGGGATGAGCTTGGGATGGTCAGGAATGGTCAGGAATGGGGTTGGGATGGTCAGGAATGGGGTTGGGAAGAGCTTTGGTTGGAGAAGGGATGAAGGTGGGATGGGATGGGATGGGGCAGGAGAACAGGCGCGCCTTGGTCATGTGCGTCACCGCGAACTCGCCGTCGGCGCTGGAAAACAGGGAATGGCCTTGGGATGGGATTGGGATGGGGTTGGGATGGTCAGGAATGGTCAGGGATGGGATTGGGATGGTCAGGAATGGGGATGGGATGGGCTTGGGATGGTCAGGAATGGTCAGGAATGGTCAGGAATGGGGTTGGGATGGGGTTGGGATGGTCAGGAATGGGGTTGGGATGGGGTTGGGATGGTCAGGAATGGCTTGGGATGGTCAGGAATGGTCAGGAATGGGGTTGGGATGGTCAGGGATGGAGTTGGGGATGGGATTGGGATGGTCAGGAATGGTCAGGAATGGGGTTGAGATGAGCTTGGGATGATCAGGAATGGGGTTGGGATGGGGTTGGGATGGTCAGGAATGGTCAGGAATGGGGTTGGGATGGTCAGGAATGGGGTTGGGAAGAGCTTTGGTTGGAGAAGGGATGAAGGTGGGATGGGATGGGATGGGATGGGATGGAGCAGGAGAACAGGCGCGCCTTGGTCATGTGCGTCACCGCGAACTCGCCGTCGGCGCTGGAAAACACGGAATGGCCGGGGATGGGATTGGGATGGGGTTGGGACGGTCAGGAATGGGGGTGGGATGGTCAGGAATGGTCAGGAATGGGGTTGGGATGGGGTTGCAATGGTCAGAGATGGGGTTGGGATGGTCAGGAATGGGGATGGGATGGGGTTGGGATGGTCAGGAATGGTCAAGAATGGGGATGGGATGGTCAGGAATGGTCAGGAATGGGGTTGGGATGGTCAGGGATGGGTGGGGAAGAGCTTTGGTTGGAGAAGGGATGAAGGTGGGATGGGATGGGATGGGATGGGATGGGATGGGATGGGATGGGATGGGATGGGATGGAATGATGGGATGACGGGATGATGGGATAATGGGACGATGGGATGATGGGATGATGGGACGATGGGACCATGGGATAATGGGACGATGGGATGATGGGACAATGGGACAATGGGATGAAGGGATGATGGGACGATGGGATGATGGGATAGTGGGAAGGCATTCCGGGCATTCCCGGCTCTGCCAGGAATTCCCCGCGCCAGCCCCGTCCCTCACTTGTTGTAGAGGACGAGGTCGGGGATCCAGATCATCTCGGAGGGCACCCGGATGGAGGTGACGTTGTCGTACTCGGCCGGGTCCCAGCGCAGCTTGTAATCGCTCCACTCCTGCCAGGAGATCCACGGGGGTGATCCGTGGGGAATGATCCACGGGGGTGATCCGTGGGGATGATCCGTGGTGATGAGCCACGGGGGTGATCCATGGGGATGATCCACGGGGGTGATCCACGGGGGTGATCAATGGGGGTGATCCACGGGGGTGATCCACGGGGGTGATCCATGGGGATGATCCGTGGGGATGGTCCGTGGGGATGGTCCGTGGGGATGATCCGCGGGGATGATCCATGGGGATGATCCACGGGGGTGATCAATGGGGGTGATCAATGGGGGTGATCCATGGGGATGATCCATAGGGATGATCCATGGGGGTGATCCACGGGGATGGTCCATGGGGATGATCCATGGGGATGATCCACAGAGGAGATCCATGGAGATCCATGGAGGAGATCCATGGGGATGATCAATGGAGCATATCCATGGGAATGATCCGTGGGGATGATCCATGGGGATGATCCATAGGGATGATCCGTGGAGGAGATTGATGGGGATGATCCATGGGGATGATCCGTGGGGATGGTCAATGGAAGAGATCCATGGGGATGATCCATGGGGATGATCCATGGGGATGATCCATGGGGGTGATCAGTGGAGGAGATCCATGGGGATGATCCATGGAGGAGATCAGTGGGGATGATCCGTGGGGATGATCAATGGGGATGATCCATGGGGATGCTCAATAGGGATGATCAATGGGGATGATCCACGGGGGTGATCCGTGGGGCAGATCCATGGAGGAGATCCATGGGGATGATCCACGGGGATGATCCACGGGGGTGATCCATGGGCATGGTCCGTGGGGATGCTCAATAGGGATGATCCATGGGGCAGATCCATGGGGATGATCCATGGGGATGATCCATGGGGCAGATCCGTGGGGCAGATCCATGGGGATGATTTGTGGGGACGATCAATGGGGATGGTCCATGTGGATGATCCATTGGCATGATCCGTGGGGGTGATCTGTGGGGATGATCCATGGGGATGATCAATGGGGGTGATCCATGGGGATGATCCACGGGGCAGAGCCATGGGGATGATCCGTGGGGGAGATCCACGGGGGTGATCCGTGGGGCGGATCTGTGGGGGTGATCCGTGGGGATGATCCACAGGGGATGATCAATGGGGATGATCCACGGGGCAGATGCGTTGGGATGATCAATTGGGATGATCCATGGGGCAGATCCATGGGGCAGATCCGTGGGGATGATCCATGGGGATGATCAGTGGGGATGATAAATGGGGATGATCCATGGGGGTGATCCATGGAGGAGATCCATGGGGATGATCCGCGGGGGATGATCAATAGGGATGATCTATGGAGGAGATCCACGGGGATGATCCATGGGGCAGATCCATGGAGGAGACCTGTGGGGAGAATCCATGGGGATGATCCACGGGGATGATACATGGAGGATATGCATGGGGATGATCCGTGGGGATGGTCCATGGGGCAGATCCGTGGGGATGATCCATGGGGATGATCCGTGGAGGAGATGCATGAGGATGATCAATGGGGGAAGATCCACAGGGATGGTCCGTGGGGGTGATACATGGAGGAGATCCATGGGGATGATCCGTGGGGCAGATCCATGGGGCAGATCCATGGGGGATGATCAATGGGGATTATCCATGGGGGATTATCCATGGGGCAGATCCATGGGGATGATCCGTGGGGAAGCTCAATAGGGAAGATCCATGGGGCAGATCCATGGGGATGGCCCCAGAACACCGTGGGAATGGACATTCCCAAATCCCAACCCCAAATCCCATTCCCACCCCAAAATCTCACTCCCAAATCCCACACTCAAATCCCACTCAAAAATCCCATTCCCAAATCCCGTTCCCAAATCCCACGCCCAAATCCCAGTCTTAATTCCAAATCTCAATCCCAAATCCCTTTCCAAATCCCACTGTCAAATCCCAATCCCAAATCCCGATCCCAAATCCCCGATCCCGATCCCGCACCTGTTTCAGCCAGACGTTGGTGGTCATCATCCGGTTCTACAAATCCCAATCCCAAATCCCACTCCCAAATCCCAAATCCCAAATCCCAATCCCACTCCCAAATCCCAATCCCAATCCCAAATCCCAAATCCCCAATCCCATTCCCGCACCTGTTTCAGACAGACATTGGTGGTCATCATCTGGTTCTACAAATCCCAATCCCAAATCCCATTCCATATCCCAATCCCATTCCCAAATCCCAAATCCAAATCCCAAACCCAAAATCCTGAATCACACTCCCAAATCCCGTTCCAAATCCTATTCCCAAATCCCATTCCCAAATCCCATTCCCATTCCCACCCCAAAATCCCACTCCCAAATCCCACGCCCAAATCCCAGTCCCAATTCCAAATCCCAATCCTAAATCCCACTCCCAAATCCCAATCCCAAATCCCAATCCCCAGTCCCAATTCCAAATCCCAATCCCAAATCTCTTTCCAAATCCCACTGTCAAATCCCAATCCTAAATCCCACTCCCAAATCCCAATCCCAGTCCCAATCCCAAATCCCATTCCTGAACCTGTTTCAGCCAGACATTGGTGGTCATCATCTGGTTCTACAAATCCCAAATCCCTGTCCAAATCCCAATCCCAAATCCCATTCCCAAATCCCAAATCCCAAATCCCATTCCCACACCTGTTTACGTTGGTGGTCATCATCTGGTTCTACAAATCCCACTCCGAAATCCCTAATCCTAAACCCCATTCCCAAATCCCAAATCCCAATCCCAAATCCCGAATCCCAAATCCCAAATCCCAATCCCGCACCTGTTTCAGGCAGGCGTTGGTGGTCATCATCCGGTTCTACAAATCCCAATCCCAAATCCCATTCCCAAATCCCCAATCCCATTCCCACACCTGTTTGAACCAGATGTTGGTGGTCATCATCTGGTTCTACAAATCCCAAACCCCAAATCCCAAATCCCAAATCCCAAATCCCAATCCCAAATCCCGAATCCCAAATCCCGAACCCCAAATCCCCATTCCCGGCACTTGTTTCAGCCAGACGTTGGTGGTCATCATCAGGTTCTACAAATCCCAAATCCCAAATCCCGAATCCCAAACCCCATTTCCCGAATCCCAAATCCCAGTCCCACTCCCAAATCCCAATCCCAAATCCCCAATCCCGATCCCGCACCTGTTTCAGCCAGACGTTGGTGGTCATCATCTGGTTCTACAAATCCCAAATCCCAGTCCCATTCCCAAATCCCAAATCCCAAATCCCAGATCCCAGTCCCACTCCCAAACCCCATTCCCAAATCCCGAATCCCAAATCCCAAATCCCAATCCCGATCCCGGCACCTGTTTCAGCCAGACGTTTGTGGTCATCATCTGGTTCTACAAATCCCAAATCCCAAATCCCAAATCCCAAATCCCAAATCCCATTCCCGCACCTGTTTCAGCCAGACGTTGGTGGTCATCATCTGGTTCTGCAAATCCCAAATCCCATTCCCAAATCCCAAATCCCCAATCCTGATCCCGCACCTGTTTCAGCCAGACGTTGGTGGTCATCATCTGGTTCTACAAATCCCAAATCCCAAATCCCGAATCCCAAATCCCAAATCCCAAATCCCAAATCCCGAACCCCAAATCCCCAATCCCATTCCCGGCACCTGTTTCAGCCAGACGTTGGTGGTCATCATCTGGTTCTACAAATCCCACTCCGAAATCCCAATCCCAAACCCCATTTCCAAATCCCAAATCCCAATCCCAAATCCCGAATCCCAAATCCCAAATCCCATTCCCGGCACCTGTTTCAGCCAGACGTTGGTGGTCATCATCTGGTTCTGCAAATCCCAAATCCCATTCCCAAATCCCAAATCCCCAATCCTGATCCCGCACCTGTTTCAGCCAGACGTTGGTGGTCATCATCTGGTTCTACAAATCCCAAATCCCAAATCCCGAATCCCAAATCCCAAATCCCAAATCCCAAATCCCGAACCCCAAATCCCCAATCCCATTCCCGGCACCTGTTTCAGCCAGACGTTGGTGGTCATCATCTGGTTCTACAAATCCCACTCCGAAATCCCAATCCCAAACCCCATTTCCAAATCCCAAATCCCAATCCCAAATCCCGAATCCCAAATCCCAAATCCCATTCCCGGCACCTGTTTCAGCCAGACGTTGGTGGTCATCATCCGGTTCTACAAATCCCAAATCCCCAATCCCGAATCCCAAACCCCATTTCCAAATCCCAAATCCCAGTCCCACTCCCAAATCCCGAATCCCAAATCCCCAATCCCGATCCCGCACCTGTTTCAGCCAGACGTTGGTGGTCATCATCTGGTTCTACAAATCCCAAATCCCGAATCCCAAATCCCGAACCCCAAATCCCCAATCCCGGCACCTGTTTCAGCCAGACGTTGGTGGTCATCATCTGGTTCTGCAAATCCCAAATCCCAAATCCCACTCCCAAATCCCTTTCCAAATCCTAATCCCAAATCCCAATCCCAAATCCCAATCCCAAATCCCAATCCCAAATCCCCAATCCCGATCCCGCACCTGTTTCAGCCAGACATTGGTGGTCAACATCTGGTTCTACAAATCCCAAATCCCAAATCCCAAATCCCAAATCCCAAATCCCGAATCCCAAATCCCGAATCCCCAATCCCAAATCCCAATCCCAAATCCCCAATCCCGATCCCGCACCTGTTTCAGCCAGACGTTGGTGGTCATCATCTGGTTCTACAAATCCCAAATCCCAAATCCCAAATCCCAGTCCCACTCCCAAATCCCAATCCCAAATCCCGAATCCCAAATCCCGAATCCCCAATCCCAAATCCCGATCCCAAATCCCGAATCCCAAATCCCCAATCCCGATCCCACACCTGTTTCAGCCAGACGTTGGTGGTCATCATCTGGTTCTTCTCATCCTGCGGTGGGAACGAGGGATGAGCCGGGAGACCCCGAGGGATTTTGGGACGGTCCCAAAAATTCCAGGGGATCCCAAAATTCCAGGGGATCCCAAAATTCCGGGAAATCCCAAAATTCCCAGCCCCCACAGTGATCAGTTCTTTGGGATGAGTTTTCCCGGGATTTGTGGCCGCTAGAGGGCAGCAGGGAATCGGATTTGGGATAGGGGATAGGGGATGTAGGATATGGGATGTGGGATATGGGATAAGGGATATGGGATACGGGATAGGGGATATGGGATACGGGATATGGAATGTAGGATATGGGATTTGGGATATGGGATATGGGATAGGGAACAGGGGATGTGGGACGTGGGATACAGGATAGGGAATAGGGGATAAGGGATACGGGATATGGAATGTGGGATATGGGATATGGGATGTGGGATGTGGGATAGAGGGATATGGGATTTGGGATGTGGGATATGGGATAGGAGATATGGGATATGGGATGTGGGATAGGGGATATGGGATGTGGGATGTGGGATATGGGATACGGGATATGGGATATGGGATGTGGGATGTGGGATATGGGATAGAGGGATATGGGATAGGGGATTGGGGATGTGGGATGTGGGATGTGGGATAGGGGATATGGGATGTGGGATTTGGGATGGGGGATAGGGGATACAGGATATGGGATATCAGGTAGGGATATGGGATATGGGATGTGGGATAGGGGATATGGGATGTGGGATATGGCATATGGGATATGGGATATCGGGTATGGGAATATGGGATATCAGGTATGGGATATGGGATAGGGGATATGGGATACGGGATAGGGGATATGGGATACGGGATATGGGATGTGGGATTTGGGATATGGGATGTGGGATAGAGGGATATGGGATTTGGGATGTGGGATATGGGATTTGGGATGTGGGATAGGGGATGTGGGATGTGGGATTGGGATATGGGATAGAGGGATAAAGTGTTAAAGGATTTAGGGACGGGGATAGGGGGATAGAGGGATAAAGGGATATGGGATAGGGGGATATAGGGGTGGGGGGATAGGGGGATATGGGATATGGGATGTGGGATAGGGGGTGTGGGATATGGGATAGGGGATAGGGGATGTGGGATGTGGGATGTGGGATAAAGTGTTAAAGGATTTAGGAACTGGGATAGGGGGATAGAGGGACAAAGGATAAGGGATATGGGATATGGGATGTGGGATATGAGATGTGGGATATGGGGATATCGGGTAGGGGTATGGGATATGGGATAGGGGATGTGGGATGTGGGATATGGGATAGGGGATAGAGGGATAGGGGATAGAGGGATAAAGTGTTAAAGGATTTAGGGACGGGGATAGGGGGATAGAGGGACAAAGGGATATGGGATAGGGGGATAGTGGGGTGGGGGATAGTGGGATATGGGATAAGGGATATGGGATATGGGATAAAGTGTTAAAGGATTTAGGAACGGGGATAGGGGGATAGAGGGATAAAGGATAAGGGATATGGGATATGGGATGTGGGATATGAGATGTGGGATATGGGGATATCGGGTAGGGGTATGGGATATGGGATGTGGGATATGGGATAAGGGATGTGGGATATGGGATGTGGGATAGGGGATATTGGGTAGGGGTATGGGATATGGGATAGGGGATGTGGGATATGGGATAGGGGATAGAGGGATAAAGTGTTAAGGGATTTAGGAACAGGGATAGGGGGTAGAGGGACAAAGGGCTATGGGATAGGGGGATAGTGGGGTGGGGGATAGAGGGATATGGGATAAGGGGATTTTGGGATGGTTGGAGAAAGGGATTTGGGAGAGAGGCATAGACAAATACAGGGATGGGGGATAGGGGGGTAAAGGGAGAACTGGATAAAGGGATATGGGATAGAGGCATATAGGATAGGGGATATGGGATAGAGGGATATGGGATAGAGGATAGGGGGATATGGGATAGAGGATATGGGATAGGGGATATGGGATAGGGGATATGGGATAGAGGGATATGGGATAGGGGATAGAGGGCTATGGGATAGGGGGATACGGGATGTGGGATGTGGGATATGGGATACAGGATACGGGATATGGGATAGAGGGATATGGGATATGGGATATG